AACACAAAAACACCAAATCAGTAGTTTTAGAGGAAAATTTGAGCCATAAAATGTCTTCTTCAGTTTGATCTAACACAGTCACATCAAAACACTTTAAAAGTCATTTTTTAACAAAACACCAACACCTCCAGACCCCTCTTCGCATGTACATGCCTGGTTGACCTGTTATTACCGTACCACTGATAACCTTCACAACATGTTAAAACATCATTAGGGTTTAAAAACGTTTCACATACAGCAAAAACATCGTAGTTACAAGATTCAATAACTGATTTTCTAAAATAGGAATTGTCATTGTCTTTAATTGAGAATCCACCCACGTTCCAGAATCCTAGACGGGCACACCTCTAATGTTTATGTTGAGAGTTGATTTTCATCAACCTACCTCCTCTCACAGTGAAAGTTTTGTCCTTGCCCAGTTCACGGAGTAGCGTTCTCAGGTTAGCCTCCGATTTTTTAGCCTCTATAGGAATGTCATGTTCGATATACACTCTATCATAATGTTTGCTATTCTTGAGTTTGGATTTGTTTTTGAACACTTGTGATTTCTGTTCAGGCGAACTCAGAGTTGCTATCACAACGCCAGGGTATTTCCCGGTCCCTCGTTTTTCTTTCCTCACAGCATTCTTCACAAACACATCTTTAAGTTTAAGTTCATCTCTAATGAGGCCAATGACTTTACCTTTGGTGATTGCGCTGTCTTGTAGTTCCTTGGCGTCTTCATGCAGGTTCTTGATGATGATGTTACACTCCCGTGTGTCGTCTGCTAGCTTCCCGCCCTTTACCGCGCTGGCGTAGGTAGTCTCCATCTTGGATAGATTGGAGTGTAGTTTGTCAATCTCTCCCTGAAACTCGTCTCTCACTTTTTGTAGTTCACACGTTATCGTTAATTTCAACTTTTCATCAATCACCTTTTCTAGATTCTTGGTTATTCTTTCCTCTAAGTTCACTTCAAGTCTATCAATTCGTGAGTTCACAGATTCAAATTGTTTAGTCATATTTGATAGAAGATCGGAAAATAGGTTCCGAACGCTAGATTCCGTACATATAGAGTCTTCTTTGAGAGCAGCTTGACCCGAGTTACAACTCACTGTTTGTTGTGTTGACACGTCGGACCGTCTCGCTTCGTTGGGCGCCATTACTGTCGACACGTAGCTTTCGGCTTCTGTGTAATCTTCTCGGAGTTTTTTCTGCAAGTTGTCGTCGTCGTTTTCATCTCGATGTCGCTTTCTGATGGTTTCTACATCAATAGTGGACATTGTTTCACCACCTTTTGAGTACGATCGACTATTATTTATAGCATAAACCAAGAGAAATCTTATGATTTGAGAGAGCTTTCAAAATCGTGGCCTGCTCGCTCCGGACATGCGCAGTGCGTGATATCTGATTACTTCGGTCTGAACATGGACGCCAATAATTCTAGTATAAGGGATGACACTGATCATTTCTCAATCATTACAGTTACGTGAAAAGCATCAAGGAAAAATTCCAAAGACATTCCAAGTTGATTGAGTGAGTTTGATTTCAGGCAATGTCGCGACAGGGGACAACTGTTACAGGCTTCCAACATCTAGGGCATCGAGCGAGCGAGCGTCTAAACAAAGCTACACAGGGTCATGTACTCCATGTTCGAAGATTTACCAATCTTCAATCCTTTCCGTTTCCTACTTTCAGACTGATTTGATATCCATGTACCATAAGTTGATAATATACTGGATAAAGTAAGAGAGTGTGTACCTTAAGTAGGAAGAGGAGAGCAAAAGAAACTAGGACAGGGATTTTATTCGTTAAAATGGCGTTTTTTGTATATTTGTGAAGAATTGTGAAGTGTCACTACGAAGAGTAATTGAGCCTATTCAGCAAATAACACGAAGTATTTATTTATTTAATATCTGCTCATGATGGTCAGTAAAATGTTAAAGCTTGTCATAGTCTTAACATAAAAGAACATGTTTTAATTCTGGTTGCGCGTGTAAGCGATATGTGCTGACAAGCTCCGGCCACGCCCATAGAAATCTACTTACATCGTCTAACATTTCAATTGAAGGACCATAATATATGCTTTAATTAAGGCATTACAGCACTCCATACCAGCATTTGCTATTCGGCTAATAACACAAAGGTTTTTACTTATTCAATGTCTGCTCACAAAGGACAGTATAATATTTACGTCTATCATAGTCTTAACATAAAAGAAACCTGAAACAAAATGTAGATTCAATAATATGAGATTGAGTCCTGTCAAAGAACCAGCCTACAGAAAATACCTTTGCTTCACATTACAAATACATGGCGTGATATTTATCACGAAATTCTTTTGGTCTTTCATTTCAGGCTATAGTGCTTGTAAGCAGTTTTAGGTATTCACAAAGCACTGTCGATCCTGGTAAACCGAGAACGTAATCCATCGAAAACTGAGACTTTGCCACGCGTAGCATCAGCGGTGAGACGTGGCAGAAGGATACACTCTGAATTCAGCAATAAAACAACTTGAGACATTCCTTGTTTGGCAGCCGTTCCAAGGGCACCTACGAATATCACGATGAGTCTTTGGTTCTTTCTGTTGGACAATAGAAACATAATCCTGTCTGTTCATGTGATTCTTGGAGTTGTTACGTGTCAGCCTGAGGCAAGAGATGGGTGGTCAAAGGACTCTGAGTAATCTCAGGGAAATGACGTCAAGTTGTGTCAGATGAAATCTTTCAAACATGGCCACACTCAACTACACGCGACTTGAAGGAGACAGTACAAGGGCATGTGTATGTAAGTAATATGCATCTAATTAGTCACATTTTCAAAAATTCAGAAAGCATGAGTGAGTGAGTAAGAGTTAAGATTTACAGTGACACAGGCAATATGTCAGTAATACTGTGACAAAAAACATGACATATCTTTAAGGATAAATACAGTTGAATGAAAAAACTAAAGACGGTAAAACAACTAGAATGTCACAGAAAATGAAGTTAAAACTTGTGTTTCTCTCTGAAACTTGATTTCTGTACACAACAATAAAATATTAACGGGGCAAAAGAACTGACGATTGATCACCACAATTGTGACCTTAGGGACTTAACAGTGCAACCTGCATGGACTCTTTAAATATATAGTCATGAGTATATATTTGAAATGGACAATACCACATCGTCGCACATTGAGCTCTTCAAAACTGGACTGAAAACCCATCTAGGGTGTAAATTATGAATACCTACTGAGGTGTCAACATTGATATACAGATACATTTTCTAGTTCAATGTTAATAGCAGTTATGGGAAGTGTAATGTTCATTCCTAACGAATGTTTATTGTACAAAGAAGGGATTAAATAGAGGATTAAAACATGGTTGGACACATTAGAATTAGGAGAAGTTCGATAAAATGAAACACCTCGAAAGGTGAGGTTGGCATACGTCATGAACGTCCCTCTTGTAATTTGCAATTTTCGAGCCCAAAGGAAGCAAACCACTAGCCAATGTCAATGCATATGAGAGAAAGTAATATAATATATATCCATAGGTATTATGTGTGGGTTGGGGTGGGGAGGTGACAACCAAGTGGCATTTCCAGGTGAAAAAGTAACGGAATAAATTGTCACATTTTCTCCTAATTTCTCTTCATCAACTGTTTCTTCCTTGGCATCAAATCCAAAATCCCCTACTCTTTTAATGGTATATAAGGAGTTATTGAGTTTAGTTTTACGCCGCACTCAGCAATATATATGCCGAGGTATATAAGGAAGGGTGAGTGGGTTTAGTTTTACGCCGCGTTTAGCAATATTCTAGGAATATCACGTCGGGGACACCAGAAATGAGCTTCACACATTGTACCCATGTGGGAAATCAATCAGGGTCTTCATCGTGATGAGCAAACGCTTTAACGACAAGGCTGCACCACCACCCCTATCAGGAAGGGACTCGACCACAAAGTTGTGTATAAGGTTGGTGTTATTAGTCGTAGAATTCAGTCGAGAGGGAGGCTTTTACTATTTTACTACTGCATGCCTATGTTTTTATTTGTCAACAGGTTCAAGCTGCCTTCATAGCCGACAAAAAGTGCGATCTAGTCAGGAGATACTTGTTCAATCGAACTGGAAACGCTGTCTTCCCAAAGGTTGGTTGAACGAATTTTACACACATGTATCAATAGCGGATGCAACGTTGGCTGTTTCTTCAGACTTATAATTTTGTTCCACCTGTCCGACCCTTCACCTTCAGTAACATAACGTAGTGATCAGGAATTGTACTTTTATAGTAGGAATTTGGAGTGGATATCTGGTCGGATTAGGGGTGTATCAGTGAGTCATGAGAGGAGTGTACCAGTGTGTGGCGTTGATGAGATTTTGGCGTGCCATGAAAAAACCTACTCACAAAGGACGTGAACAGTTCTGTACCACATCTTTAGAATTGAACAAAATGGATGAAGTGTGAAGGATATTTAGAGAAATGCCATCATTACAACTGAGCGGAGTATCTTCCGGCATCATTGGTATTTCTGCTTTATGATGCCCACGCAACATGCATTCCGTCACCCCTTTTCCTTAAGTGTGTCTAAGTAAGTCAGTTCAAAAATAGATTACTCGTCACCAAACGGTATGTATAATGTTTATTATAAGCCCCATCAGACGAGTGCTTCAGTCAACCTTACGTTGTTTTGTGATACAATAATAATGTTAAAGTTACTGCTAAACTTTGAAGCATTGTGTTCAAAAACTATATATATTGATCTTACAATCATGAAACTTTGACATTTCTTTAAAAAAACGTATCTACATCAGGGAGGAAGTTCTACCCTTCGAATACCAAACAACGCAGACAAGATCGGAAACACAGACCCGGAGATCGGAAACACAGGCCCGGAGATCGGAAACACTGGCCCAGAGATCGGAAACACAGGCCCGGACAGATCACATTACATGAGGCCTGCAGGGAGGGTGACCTGAGACGGGTGCGACACTTTCTGTCTGCAGGTGAGGTTGACATCAATAATCGAGACAGTGAGTACGGAATGACACCAGTGATGCTGGCAGCACGCGGGGGACATTTGGATGTGTTTCTCTTACTTGTAACACATGGATGTGTTTTGTCACCTGTTGCTGTGGACGGCAACAACATTCTTCATATGGCCTGTTATGGTGGAAATATTGCGATAGTTAAACATATCGTGTCACTTGACATCGTGGATATCAGCAGTAGAGGACAGAATGGGAGGACATGCGTGATGACACTGGCAAACCTTGGACACAATGACGGGTTTACATTTGTTGTTGAAAATGGAGGTGACGTGTCTCTGGCAGATGAAGCTGGGGACAACATCCTTCATATAGCCTGTAAGGGAGGTCATGTGGAAACGGTGACTTATATCCTCTCACAGAGCATTGTGGATGTCAACAGCAGAGGAAAAGACGGAGAAACAACATTGATGATGGCAGCACGGTTGGGGTACAGAGAAGTGTTTGACGAATGTGTGTGTGTTGGAGGCAATATGTACAGCGTCGATACAGGTGGATACAATATCCTACATAAAGCCTGTCTTGGGGGACATGTGGAGATGGTGAAGTATGTCCTCTCGCTGAACATTGTGGACGTGAACAGTAGAGGACACTTTGGTAGGACACCATTAATGCTGGCAGCGTACATTGGGCAAAAGGAAGTATTGGACGTAGTACTCAGTAAAGGTGGTGATGCTTCACTTGTGGACATACATGGGGACACCATCCTGCATCTGGCCTGTCTTGGGGGAAATCTGGAGATAGTGAAGTATGTCCTCTCACAGAACATTGTGGACGTGAACAGTAGAGGACAGTACAATAGGACACCGTTAATGATGGCAGCGCGCAGGGGGCACGGAGAAGTGTTTTACCTAGTATTGCACAAAGGAGGTGATGCTTCGCTTGTGGATAAATATGGGGACAGCATCCTGCATCTGGCCTGTCTTGGGGGAAATCTGGAGATAGTGAAGTATGACCTCTCACAGAAGATTTTTTACGTGAACAGTAGAGGACAGTACGATAGGACACCGTTAATGATGGCAGCGCGCATGGGGTACGGAGAAGTGTTTTACCTAGTATTGAACATAGGAGGTGATGCTTCGCTTGTGGATAAATATGGGGACAGCATCCTGCATCTGGCCTGTCTTGGGGGAAATCTGGAGATAGTGAAGTATGTCCTCTCACAGAACATTGTGGACGTGAACAGTAGAGGACAGTACAATAGGACACCGTTAATGGTGGCAGCGTACATGGGACATACAGAAGTATTGCAGTTACTATTTCACGAAGGAGGTGACGCTTCACTTGAGGACAGAAATGGTGACAACATGTTGCACCTGGCCTGTCTTAGAGGGCATGTGGACATAGTGAAGTATGTTCTTTCTGGTACTCTTGTAGATATTAACGCCAGGAACAAGGACGGGGCTACAGCAGCGACCATTGCCAAGAAAAACACACACATGGACATCTACGATCTCCTTATTAACTACAAGGACTGACATGATTAACATTGTTTAAATAGCATTAAATACAAATGATACATTCTCCACAATTCCGAGTCCTGTTATGTAACGATTATCAAGGTACAACTGGCAAACCCTCGTCGAAAGCAAACACAATTTATGCAGTTTGTTCGAACTTGGAGATCAGAAAACTCCTTATAACCGCTCAAAATACATAGTCTAACCTGACGCATCCGCACATTTCAACTATGGTGAATGACACGAGGTGTATTCAGCACGCTCTATTGTCAACAACGTCAAGAAACCAAACAATTCTCATTCTCAAACGGGTACGACATCTGATCGCCACAGGTTATTTCACATCAAGCATCTAACGCACACCAGCAAATCAAGTCACTGTTAAGTAGACCGGACGCATGCATATTTCATATCAGGGATAAATCTTACTCACTTCGCAACACCAACAAATCAAGTCACTGTTAAGCACACATAACCCATGCATATTTCACATCAGGGACCAATCTTAATCACTTCGCAACACCAGCAAATCAAGTCAGTGTTAAGCACACATAACGCATGCATATTTCACATCAGGGACCAATCTTAATCACTTCGCAACACCAACAAATCAAGTCACTGTTAAGCACACATAACGCATGCATATTTCACATCAGGGACCAATCTTAATCACTTCGCAACACCAGCAAATCAAGTCAGTGTTAAGCACACATAACGCATGCATATTTCACATCAGGGACCAATCTTAATCACTTCGCAACACCAACAAATCAAGTCACTGTTAAGCACACCAACAAACGCACTGCATATTATTTCACATCAGGGACCAATCTTAATCACTTCGCAACACCAGCAAATCAAGTCACTGTTAAGCACACATAACGCATGCATATTTCACATCAGGGACCAATCTTAATCACTTCGCAACACCAGCAAATCAAGTCACTGTTAAGCACACATAACGCATGCATATTTCACATCGGGGACCAATCTTAATCACTTTGCAACACCAGCAAATCAAGTCACTGTTAAGCACACATTACGCATGCATATTTCACATCGGGGACCAATCTTAATCACTTCGCAACACCAACAAATCAAGTCACTGTTAAGCACACATAACGCATGCATATTTCACATCGGGGACCAATCTTAATCACCTCGCAACACCAGCAAATCAAGTCACTGTTAAGCACACATAACGCATGCATATTTCACATCAGGGACCAATCTTAATCACTTCGCAACACCAGCAAATCAAGTGACTGTTAAGCAGAGGACGGATGCATAGACTCGCCAGTATTCCAGCTATATGGTGGCGGTCTGTAAATATTCCAGTCTGAACTAAGCAATCCAGTGATCAACATCACGAGCATCAATCCACGCAATTGGGATACGATGACATGTATCAACCAAGTCAGCGAGGCTGAGCACCCCACTCGGTTTGTCGCCTCTTACCACAAGCAAACCACAAACATTTAAAGGGGTCAGACACGTTATTCGTACTTTTGTCATAGGAGGTTGTAACGCCAAACAGAAACTTTATTTTGTATTATACTCGGTGTCATTATTACTATAGGCGACATTGATCAGCATCTAATGTGTGGCATGCCAGCTCGTGAAGCTACTTGAATCAGAATCAGTAGCTACTTGATAAGTATGTTTATGGTGTTTATAGGGTGTCAGTTAAGAAGTCAACTCCATCACTCTAAGCTGTATTTGACAAGCATCTACAGTAGGGGATATCATACACAACGTTGGTGATGCGTTATCCAGGACTGAATATCGTTCTGTGAAGAACCTGAGCAGACATGTTTTGCAGAGTAGTGTTAGAAGAACCTGCGTGGTTATAAGGACGCACATTTATAAACAAAACAGTGTCTGTCATATATAATGTGTCGCATTCCAACTCGTGAAGCTGTTTATCACTAGCTACTTGATAAGTATTTTTTTTATGTTTCTATGTGTTTTTACATTCAGGTTAGAAGTCAACATAGCCATCACTCTAAGCTGCATTTGACAAGCATCTACATGCAAAGGGACATAATATACAGGGTGGGTGACCCGTGATCCCGGATTTAATCGAACCTAAGCAGACATGTTTCTAGTAGAACCTGCGTGGTTATAAGACCTCACATCTAAAAACAAAACATTGTCTGTTATATCACGCTGTTATATATTATCAATGTCCCATCGTTTCTGTACCAAACATTTTTATATTTTACTTTAAACATTATGGATAATTGTTTAGGGCTCTGAGCATGCATGTACATGGGATGGACTATAGCGCTATATAAATACCTATATAGTAATAATACGTTCTCAGTGCCCTTGGTTTGGTACCTCCTGATCTCTTGGCGCAGATCAGGAGAGTGCCCGCGTTCTTCACCTGGAGCACAGCACATCTGTCACTCTGGGTAATGCAAAAGTCTAAATATTCTCCGGAAAGTTCTTGGTTTAGGCAGCGTTTCCTGGGAGAAGTCCCATTTGCTCTCTGGGCTTATGATGAGCCTTACCAGCCTGACTGTGCCCGGCTTAAAAACCTCATGCTTCGTGAGCCAGTTCAACCCACAACTTGTGACCGCCAGGAATCTTTGCATGAGCAGAATGCTCAAGTAGCAAGAGACCTAAAACTTCAGATGGACGTCCGGGTTATCCTCTCTCCTCTTCCTGGTGCAAACTTTTCCAGAATAGAGCCAATTGGCCCCGACATTTCTTACCCCAATTCTTCTTGTTCCTCCGTTGCACATCTTTCCGAAAATCCTGTTTACATTTTGTTTAATTCTATTCATGAGGAAATTTGTGATCTACCTTTAGAGAAACGGAAGCCAATTAAACAACTAATCGTGTCTTTTCCCAAAAATTAAATTGATTTACTTAATGAAACTATTTCTCTAAAACTTTCTGTGGACTATAAGTTACATGAAGTAAATTGCTGTGTCTATGCTGCTGCCCGAACTTTCACACAGTGTCTAAAAAAACCACCATCCAATGATAACAACAAAAGATCAAAGAAAAATCGGTTTCTTGTAAAACTTACTGAAACTAGAAGAAATATTTCCTGGATAGAGCTCTGCCTTTAAATAAGATCGTCAGGAAACCCAATGTCTAAAAGATATTAAAATTACAGCATAAAACAAAAAGGTACTTCTCCAAATTGTCGATTACTTTAAGGCCAAAATAAAGGTTTTGACTGAGTGAAAGAAAAAATGGGAAGAGAAACCTTCATCAAACAGAATAAACTTTGAGAAATAATGAAAAACACTTCTACAGGCAGCTGAACAGGAACGGTGATGGTGAGCATGATAAACGGCCTCCCGTGGATGCTTATGAAAAGTTATGGAAACAGTTGTGGTCTGTACCCGGCGACTGTAATCTTGAGGCACCATGGTCAGTGATTACGATCATGAAATGCATGAGAAAATAATTTGGTCGTTTCTCTGTTACATATCGCCCGATTGCCTTGCCTGAAAAGTGTCATAAAAAAGTCCAAGTCTAATACAGCTCCAGGGCCAGATGGAATTCGAAACCGGTACTGGAAACTGTTCCCATGTGTCCACACCATTACTTCACTGTTTCAATTCCCTTGTGGACACATGTGATGTTCCTCCATGGTTCTGCAAGTGTCGCACAACCCTCTTCCACAAAAAAAGGAGTCTTGAATGATCCCAAACACTTCCGCCCTATCACATGTTTGAACACTCAATATAAAATCTTCACAGGGTGTTTGACAAACCTTGTGTCATCTTACTGCTCTTGACATAATTTATAGAGGGCAAAAGGGATTTTAGGGGTGCACTTATCAACTTCTTCTACAAAAAAATGATTTGGGAAGAGGCTAAAACATATCACCGCAACCTCTCCGTGTTCTGGATTGACTACAAAAAAAGCATACAACTCTGTCCCTCACGAATGGATTCTGAAATCTCTGCATTGTATTGACCTCCCTGAGCGACTACCTGATTTACTCAAGTCTTTAATGAGTTGCTGGTCGACTCAACTTGCTTTCATTTTGAGTCTTGACATGCATCACTAGAGGATAATCCGATAAATAAATATGTGCAAAAGTAGACGACAAAATTCTATCGTGAAGAGCCTCAACATTAATCAAACCCCAACCTCCAGAATTGATTGGCATATGTAAACGATTAAAAGAGGCACGAGGGTGGTGGGCTCTGTTGTCAGACATGATCCTTCTGGTCAGGCGGTCAAGACTCCAAAGAGCCTTACCAGCCTGACTGTGCCAGGATCACCCGAACCCTCTTTGCTGCAGTTTCATCTTTAATCTGCAAAACATAATAATAATAATTGCTACAGACGCCACATTGGGTGATATACTACACAAGTAGGTATTGCTACAGACGCTACATTGGGTGATATAGTATGCAACTAGGTATTGCTACAGACGCCACATTGAGTGCTATACTAAACAAGTAGGTATTGCTACAGACGCCATATTGGGTGAAATACGACACAAGTAGGTATTGCTACAGGCGCCACATTTGGTGATATACTACACAAATAGCTATTGCTACAGACGCTACATTGGGTGATATAATACACAAGTAGGTACTGCTACATACACCACATTGAGTGATATACTACACAAGTAGGTTTTGTTACAGGCGCCACATTGGGTGATATACTACACAAGTAGGCATTGCTACATACACCACATTGAGTGATATACTACACAAGTAGGTTTTGTTACAGGCGCCACATTGGGTGATATACTACACAAGTAGGTATTGCTACATACACCACATTGAGTGATATACTACACAAGTAGGTTTTCTTACAGGCGCCACATTGGGTGATATACTACACACGTAGGTATTGCTACAGACACTACATTGAGTGATATACTACACAAGTAGGTTTTGTTACAGGCGCCACATTGGGTGATATACTACACAAGTAGGTTTTGTTACAGGCGCCACATTTGGTGATATACTACACAAATAGCTATTGTTACAGACGCCACATTGGGTGATATAGTATGCAACTAGGTATTGCTACAGACGACACATTGAGTGCTATACTACACAAGTAGGTATTGCTACTTATTACCCACGAGGTCAACGTATGGGTAGTATTTTTTCATTCATAACAAACACGTGAATTCATTCATTCTACAATTTAAATGCATTGTGGGAATGTAAACATTGCGAACGTTGCCGTGTCGCTGTTTAATTGTGAGTCGAACTGAGATATTATATCCGTCGAAAAACATAAACGCAATGTTTCCACCAGTGATGTTAGCCGAATGAAGCAACTGGAAACCAAGAAACGAGGTGCTACGGAGTAGTTTACTGTAGGAGGCTGTACGAGGCGACAACTGACATACATCGTGACGTCGGTTACCAAGGCTTTGCCGTTCTCGTTGGAGTTTGCCTGGGGTTTAAGGAGGTAAAATTCAAGAATACAGATTGTGAAGGATATATATTTCGTATAAATAAGTGAGAGCCATCATTAGATTATGATGTAATTAGAACCAATTTAAACTGGTCCTCTGTTCCGATTTAAACTGGTCTGACGGTAAAATGTTACCCGTAAACAAAATGATAAGATCTGCAGTATGTAGAAGTAATTTAAAATATTGCCACACTGAGAGGGTATGAAACCCACAACATTCAAAGAATTGTTATGTCTACCAGTTTTTAATGGTAGTGTATATTTATATTTAGACAGTCGCTAACACCTGAAGAGATGGTTTAAATCTAGCTTGGAAACCGTACAGGAAGCATACCAGTTGACTATATTTTCTTGGTTTTTACGGAAACGTTTCTCTCGTGACGATGTGAATGACATATTGCCGAAGGGAAGATAAATTTTAACTCACTCACTCACTCGTCAATAAGACATCGTTTCTTGTTGGTTACCCAGCCATGCTGGAACTCCTGGTAACGCAGTGGTAATTGTTGCTGATAAAACAACACTCAACAAATCTGTGACACCACAGTCCATCCCCTGCATAGACTATAAACCAACAGATGAATCATTAGATGTGACACCACAGTGCATCCCCTGCATAGACTATAAACCAACAGATGAATCATTAGATGTGACACCACAGTGAATCCCCTGCATAGACTATAAACCAACAGATGAATCATTAGATGTCACACCACAGTGCATCCCCTACATAAACTACAAACCAACAGATGAATCATTAGATGTGACACCACAGTGCATCCCCTACATAGACTATAAACCAACAGATGAATCATTAGATGTGACACCACAGTGCACCCCCTACATAGACTATAAACCAACAGATGAATCATTAGATGTGACACCACAGTGCATCCCCTGCATAGACTATAAACCAAAAAATGAATCATTAGATGTGACACCACAGTCCATCCCCTGCATAGACTGTAAACCAAGAGATGAATCATTAGAGGTCACACCACAGTGCATCCCCTACATAAACTATAAACAAACAGATGAATCATTAGATGTGACACCACAGTGCATCCCCTGCATAGACTATAAACAAACAGATGAATCATTAGATGTGACACCACAGTGCATCCCCTGCATAGACTATAAACCAACAGATGAATCATTGGATGTGACACCACAGTGTATCCCCTGCATAGACTATAAACCAACAGATGAATCATTAGAATCATATAATAATATGTTCGAATCTCTGAATCAACTCAATGATCACTGTAGCCCGGGGAAGACCAATGTAAATTACAGTTTTAGATTAATGTCATCATAGTACAGGTGTATAAAATAATACCGGTGTGTTGCGCCGTGCGTATGGATATATAATACGTTTGAAATATATACCTCAGCTCTATCTGAACTATAGTAAAATGTGAAGAGAAAAATGAAATCAAAGTTGTTCCGACCAACAAATGAAAGTCAGGTATTGTGGCATTTATTTAGTTATTTCGAGTGGCATATTTGCCCATTTGTACACTGGCATATTCTTGTCAAGGGAAGTGTTTCTCCTGCTATAAGCCGAAGATCCGGGTTCGATTCCCCAAAAGGGAGAAATGTGTCAAGCCCATTTCGGGTGTTCTTGCCGACATATTCCCCGCTGGAATGTTGCTAAAAACCATATCACTCACTCACCTCTGCCACTGAATATGCATGAGGATCACGAACAGTTCTATTAATAATGCGGCTAGTTATGGGGCGGCCGTTTTAATTCGAGTAGAGGGTACTTCAAACATTTTATTCTGAACATTGTGTACACGAACTAGAAGTTGTCATGGTAACTCCGATCTTTTATCTAATTGTTATAATTGTACTTTTCGAAATACGGAAATGCTTGTATCATGGCTTTCTGACCCATGTCCGACATGATTTGTTAATCTAAACCTTACATAGCATTAAAAGTAGCTTTGACAACAGAGTACCTCTACATGTTTCATATTACCGTATTAATGGAATTATAAAGCTGTAAAGTATGGTACATATCAGATTTGCCCGGCGGTCTTTATAATCCAGTTTTTTAATGACAGTCACGTGTTCTGCATGTGATTGCGGGAAGTAACAATACATTTGTTTGTTACGCGGAAACACTCGACAAATAGCCAGGGTGCACATGAGCGAAAAACCTGGCCCCCGACGTGACGACGCACGCAGTGAGTATTTGAACAGAACAATCAGCTTCAGATATGGAAATAATGTTTAATGAATGCTAATGCAGATATTAGAATGTCGCTTTCAATTGAGTTGTTCAACAGTTATAAATAAAGGGGTCACTACTGCATAATGTGTACAACTACGAGTATGTTATTAAAATATGTCCCATCCCTATTTTCTAGCAAACTTCGAGTATGTCTATTGGGCTAGGACGTTTGGATATAAAGGGTGTTTGTTGCTCCAGTTGCAGTTCTACATCTGTAATGAAGACAGTGAACATGGCATTTGGTTATGGACTCATTGTCACTGTATGCAGCTGCATCCGAGGAGATGGTGCAGTCGATGGTAAGACACTACTGCTGTTTATATATCGGCTCTGTTCCATCTCGGATCCTTTATTACCTTACAACTACGTTAAAGAAACACTGTCACACTTGTCTGTATTGCGTGAGTTGTAATAAGGAAGTTATGCCGGAAGTATTTTACCGAGTCAAATACACGCTTACTTGTTCAACAATTATGCAAACAGACACACTTGTTTTGCATGGATCTATCATTTTCTGGAGGTAATGGTTGATAGATTAATGTGTATCGAACACTGTTTCGTATCGCTAACTGACTACTTCTATGATATGTGACGAGTCGACCATAAATGGGTTTACGAAGCCATTTTACTTGCTTGTCAAATCAACTTATCACAATACATACTTTAACGTCTATTCCGACGCTATTCCCATAAGTCCATGCATTGGATTGTTTTGGTGTCATAGATTTGGGAAGCACTGAATGAAATCCTTAAACTAATCCACCCGTCAACAGAAGAAATCACGAAGAGTTACGAAAGCTAAATGATTGTATTTCAGCCACGACAACTGTGTATGTTCAACATGGAAGAACTGCCATGCTCTCGTGGACCTTGCCCAAGCCAGAAATCAGGGAATTTACAGTGAGACATTCATCTGGTTATCTGTTTCACCTTACGGACTATAACAAGGTGAGTGTAAGTGATGCATCAACACTGAAGGCGGTTTACACTGGAAACATCAATGCTTCGGGATCAGGAGTGTTCGCCTTCCAGCTGTTTGATGCAGGGATTTGGTCAGCCGGAGGCAGCTATTCATGTTACGGCGGTTCACCTAGTTCCAGAGGAAGGATTATTCCTAACTGTGGTCAGAAGCTTGTTATACTACGTGAGTATCAAATATACAAGCAAGAAATAATTACATTAAGTCGGTCCTGTGTAATTAACAGTAGTGAAATGTGTTCGACATAAAAACAAGGGGAAGTGCAATTTGCTGGCAAATATTGGTACCATATCTAAGTGTCAGATATACCACAATTATTGACAAAGAAATCATCGTTCATAAAATTCAGAATCTGAAACAAACAAGATAGGAATCTGAAATATCATATGTCATACAGTAATTCCTACTCGCAGATCTCCAAGATCCCTACATCGTGACAAAGGGAATGGTTGAGTCAAGCCGTATTGCCAGTCTATCGTGCTACTCCATCATCAGATCCTCGCCAGTTTCTCATGTCATGGCGTCAGTCACCTGGAAAAGAAATGGCGTGAACCTGACTATTGCTGGGAAATATCAAGTTTCCATAGATTATGGGTGGTTTTCCTACGATAGCATCACTTACAACAATACTTTGACTATCAGTAAAGACGGGACAGACGAAAATGTCACATACAGTTGTCAGGTTGAGGTAAAGAACCATCTGTTTCAGTCCAACTGGAGCTGTGGTTATATGCTGAATACGGAACGTGAGTTACATTTATACATTATGTCTTTGTACATTTACAATGGACAATGCAGAAGTAGATAACACTTGTCAGAGACGTGCGTCCTTGATCCGACTTCCTTTCTTGTTATCGATCTCACAAATTGAAGTAGGAAGGCGTTTCCTATACTCGCGGTACTTACGGATATCGGCTGAAAAAATAACACAAACAATTCTTATCGTATGAATGCTTGTTGTTTTCAAATGAAGGGCCTTCTCCTCTAACATCTACATCTATCAGCTGCTGGATCCATCAGGTGAATTACCACTCGTTAGCCCGGTGATAAACAATACGATCCGCCATTGAGGCTTCTCCCATTCTCGCGGTATTACCAGGAATTAACGTTATTGAGTGCATGCAAGAGCAATCCTGCCGGGAAGGGCGGGAAAAAGTAATGATATGTCCAAGTTGGTATAAACTCCCCAATATTCGTGACACTGCAAGATTTTGATCACTCACAGACTTGGTCCACTTCCTAGTTACCAGTCGGTGATGTAAACAACCGGTAAGTGTCGCGCATCGGCGATTTCGACAGAAAACGTATTTACCGCGAGAATAGGAAACCCGCGAGAATAGAAGACGGACCTACATCTGTACATTAAATGGTAACTGATACTATTTCTCTACAACAGATCGGGTAGACATGGGCACCAACTATACAGTCCTGAGCGTTGGTGACAGTGCGACGGTAACCTGGAAAATACCTCGACATCGTCATTTAGTTCATGTCAAGTCCGACTCTGGTAGGCACATGTTTCGACAGGAGTCTGCTGCAGTATACGTAGAGTATTACTACTGGCCACGAGTTACCATCACCGAAGTTATTACTTCATCTGCTGCGAATGTCGTTCGGTTTCGACTGTACAACGTGACAGAAGCTGATGCTGGCAGATACAACTGTGATGGTATTCCTTGTGAATATGTCCTGGTTGTCTCGCGTAAGTACGAGGGTGACAAGGTAAGAGAATATTATTTTGAGGGAAGAAATATTTGAACATAAACCTATCATGGACGAAAATTCAATATATATATATATATATATATTGTTATTGTCTACAATAGAGCTATGTGATCACCCCAAAGACATTTAAATTGCATACAATCAAACATCAGTGAGTTCTTACTATAAGTAAATGCTATGAGTGAGTGAGTTTAGTTTTACGCCGCACTCGGCAATATTACAGCTATATGGCGGCGGTCTGTAAATAATCGAGCCTGGACCGGATAATACAGTGATCAACAGCATGAGCATCGATCTGCTCAATTGGGAACCGATGACATATGCAAACCAAGTCAGCGAGCCTGACCACCCGCTCCTGTTAGTCGCCTCTTACGACAAGCATGGGTTTCTGAAGGCACATTCCAACCCGGACCTTCACGGATAGTAAATGTTATGACTTGCATTACGTTGATATAGGTGTACCAGCAAAACCACGCATCACTTCCTCTACCAAGCCACTAGTCGGTGAAAACATAACCCTGATATGTTCCTCCACGTCCCGAAGTCTTCCCCAGGACCACAATCTGACCATGTTCTACAACTGGAGGAGAGACAACACGAGCCTGCTGAGTGGAGGACGACATCAGATATCAGGTTCCAGTTTGACTATCAGAGAATTCAAGAGACAGGATATGGGTAACTATTCATGTCAGGCTACGGAAGAAATGGGACTGAAGTCGGAATGGAGTAATACATGCGTGATGGAAGGGTCATGTAAGTACCTCATTCACTGTATTCCTAGTCTGTCGTACAAACCCTGAAGCAAATATATCCATACTAAAATGTTTGCCTGTGCCAAAAACGATAAACGACAGTAGTAACTAAACTGCACAGAAGATCACATGCATAAGAGAGTAGCAATTCTGAAGTCTGGGTCCCATACTTAAAATATGTAAGGTAATTTATATCATTGGTTCTTTATGCGGTAGTTGATATTGAATACATATTTTACAGTGAATTTCACAAAGTACAGCCGAGAATAGCCATTTCCATCTCCCTTTCATATATATATATAATGTTTGTTTGTTTCTTGTTGTTCTTTCTACAGTTAAACCCGCAATCCTGAACCTGTCAGTAAACGGGACATCCACGGTTACTGTCAGTGTAAATCAAACTGTGGAGTTCATGTGTGAGGTTGAGGGTTATCCACCGCCCCACGTGTACATTGTCCACGTTGGCAGCAGCAAGGCTGTCGTCAACATGCTGAGAAGACAAGAACCTGTGTATCATCTTCTCACACAGGTCCGGAGCTGTTCCCTGTTTGGACAGTACGTCTGTAGAGCCAATAACACCATAGGTACATCCGAAGGATACGTGGCTACGCTACAAAGTAACTATGATTATTGTGGTTGTTTCAAATACTTCCTCGCAAGATATCAACATTCCCTATTGGATTCAAAGCAACTCTGCATGACTACAGCAGTGTTATGCATATCTCTGTTTCCGGGGTTTGTTTTACCTAAGGTGACATTGAGTTTTCATTGACGATGTTCTGCATAAGCTTAAAATATACGCGGAAATGAAATAATGTATTTTCAACTTGTAACACACTGGAACACACTGGGGCACAAATGGAGGTGGTTGGGTTGTGGTTAAAGTGTTTGATCATCACGCCGAAGACCCGGGTTCGATTCCCCACATGGGTGCAATATGTGATGCTGTTCCCAGAAGTGACATTGCTCTAATATTGCTAAAAGCGACATAAAACTAAACTCTCTCACTCCACACAAATGTTCATGTACATTTCAGCTCCTCCACGGAAACAAGATTCAAAAGATTGTGAGATTGAAAATAAAAGGGATGGTAAACCACCTTCTGGAAACATCGAGTTCACCCTTTGTGCCTACCCAGCACCTGTAGTGACGAAATGGTACTTTGCCAAATATGGCAGTCCCAGAGACATCACTGCAAATGAAAAGTATAAGTTGGCTAGGAAGGCATCAACAGACAACTTGTATGACTATATGTTCACAATTACCAACATCACTGAAAACGATTTTGGAGCATATATATTTCGTTTTGAACATGCTGAAGCAACGGCCGATATAATCATCATTGCTTCACCCCCCAAAGGTATGTGTGTTTTCTTGAAAAATGGCTTGTCTTTACCGACAGGTTCCGTCATTCATAACTGTACAAGATGATCAAACAGTACGTGGAACTTAAAACGTAAAACAAAAGTAAAACAACAAATATGTGACAAAACAGAGGTGAACAGAGAAAGGTTTTGGAATGTGACACTGTTTCCTTATCTGTAAACTTCAAACGTTTACAGTGTGCCCCCACGACGACAACAGTATAATAATTCAATTCATAAAATATCGATGCCGGCTTCCAGCCTTAACACATTTCGTTGACGTTGTCATACGTGTTTACAAGGTAAGATGCACATAGTTACACGTCAGACATCGCTCTTGAGTAAGCGTCTACACCCTTTTCCCTTTCAGGTCCTTCTAACAGCTCTGTTGTCATCGGATGTTCAATTCTAGCTATCGCCTTGGTCGTCGTTGCCATTGTTTTTCTCTGCCGAGTTGAGTACATCAGAGGTGAGATGAAATCATGTTTCTACAATTTTAACTGTTAGCTTTATGGAATAGTGATTTAATTGTGATTTTACTAATCGCCATGCCGTTACAAGTACGTCACGTTTCATTTTGTCTTATTGCAGATTACTGGCGTATAAGGTAAGCTGCAAACTTACGTTATGTCACTGGCTGAGGTAGACTTTCGAAGCTGTAATAAATAATGCTAATGTCTTGAATGTGGATTTAAGGGCTTCCAGGTTTTGAACATATGTCACGCGTTCCAGTATATCGGTACGGTATTTGATTTTTGCGGTATGGATACTACACAAGTTTCTTGTAGCTATTTTGTATTCTTTATCAGTGTTTTATAAGGGCATGCTTTATGTATTTACAGATTTCCGCAGGCATTTATTACAGAAACAAACAACATAAATGTGTCACTGGAGAACGTTACAGAGCGAGAATATGATGTCATAGAGGATTCACATTTAGCGGACTCAATCGCTATCTCTGAAAATAGGCGAATGGACAGTGACGTTGACTATCAGAAGGTGAGAACCTTGTCTCTCAGTTCGGAGTCAAATAAGGACGATTTAGAATGCCACTATGACATGGGAAACAAGGAACAGAAAAATGAAACAGAAAAGGGAAGCACGAGTTTGAAAAATGATGTAAACGACGAGGAACAGAATGAATGTAGTGAAACTGAAATTGAGTCTGTTTTAGATATTGTCGGTGGTCATTTAAGTTTCCCGTTAACAATAGCTGATGATTTTAACACTTGTCTCGTCGGCACGAGATTTACTGTCGGGGAAACAGATAGGCTTTGTGTTGAGCTAGCAGAGAGAAATGATCAAGAGGAGGTAATGCAGAGGCCAGTTTCTGCCACACCATTGGATGACTTTGTGTCAACGAATCAACTGATTAATAAATCAGACATTTTGCTGTCGTCCTCTGCTGGGAGACAGCAGGTAACTTCTAGTGTTACTAGAAACGAGTATGAACATATTAGAAGACAAGCATTGTCTGATGAATACACTTCTTTGAAACCTGACCATAATCCGTCCGATAGCTTGTAGCATTGGATACCCACAACCATAATAATCAGATGAGACGGAGAAGGAATATTAATCGAGCTTTGAGATAATTCACCGTATTGTGCATGATACTAATTTTAACGTTTAACTCGACGTATTTATTATTTATGTCAGCTGTTTAAGTTCAAGAAGTACAATCCCCTCTTTTTTGAGGACCCTGTCATACTTGTGTACCTTCATAGGAACACCGATATCTGCAGTTTGTTTATTCACATGTCAGTGCTGATTTCTTTAAACCCGAGTGGGTTTCTGAGTTTTGACTGTTATACTGTATCCAAACATTATTGTATGCATTGATTGATTGATTGATTGATTGATTGATTGTTATATTAATATCCAAGTTGCTATGTATACAAACTGTAATGAAGTCCTTTGATACATGTGCATGTATACGTTCTTATGGTCTTGGGGGCGTTGGGGTAGCCTAGTGGTTAAGGCGTTCGCTCGTCACGCCGAAGACCCGGATTAGAATCCCCACATGGGTACAATGTGTGAAGCCCATTTCTGGTGTCCCCCGCCGTGATGTTGCTGGAATATTGCTAAAAGCGGCGTAAAACCAAAAACTCAGTCAGTCAGTCCTATGGTCTTGTCTCGTTATGTCAAAGGGAAGTAACTCTACTGTAGTGGTGTCGAAATGATTCGTTTCAGTAGTCCGTACGTTTCACTATCTGAACGCTTTTGACGAAAAACGGAAGTGTTTGGATTACAGAGGACTGACTGTATGCATTTTAAACGCTGAGTTACTACCTTTGCAGGGGATGAGGAAATTGCCATTTTCCCAAACTTTCTTTTTCTCGTATTTGTGGAATCAACATCCCAGCTTGTCCGTGCTTAGTTTTACCTGTTTTCCTATGAAATACTTTTTTTTCCTTGTGTTTGTAACAGTTATGAAGACATGACGACGTGCTATTTTTGTTATCAATGTTATTGTTTCAGTAAACATTTTGTTGTTCACGTTTTCATTTTATTTTTGTAACCACTAAACACCCCTTAAACGAACTGCGGAGTTATATATTTTGATATTTCCTAATCAATCAAACCTGACACTAAAGCTCAATAAAGTCTATCTATGCCATATAAACCTGAGGGGTGCTTCTCACTATGTATTAGACATGGCTTCTTTTCCCGGAATTACCGCATTTGAGGGTTTTGTTTGCTCCCAGGTTTTACTTTTTGTAAAGTAAGACCTCTTCCCATGTTTTTACTAACTCTATGTTAACATCAATATTCAAATTCATATGATATGGGAGTGTTTGAAATCAATTGAAAAATATCGTTAAAGATCAGCTTTAATGTGCACATGTTTTCCCTAGCAGGAATGGAACCACATCACTCAGGTATTAAGCAGACGCTCTACCTCTCGGCCACCGGGCCGACGAAAAAGCCAGGGTTGAATTATCCATTTATAGTTAGGCCTACTGTCATTAAATTGATTTTACTAGCCCTTCTGTTACTGTTATGTAGCTTCATTACAGGATCATCTAATTATCCATCATTGACAGTTTATATGTAGAATAAAGCACTTCTCATAATCACCGTCATTGATTTCAATTGACTTGGAATTAAAGTGTTCGTCGTATATTACACAATGCTGATATGTGAATATGTTTGAGATGGTCAGGTCATTACCATTAGTGAGTGAGGTTAGCTTTACGCCGCACTCAGTCATATTCCAGCGGCGGTCTGTAAATATTAGAGTCTGGAACGGACAATCCAGTGATCAACAGCATGAGCATCGATCTTCGCAATTGGTATAAGATGACATGTGTCAACCAAGTCAGCGAGCCTGACCACCCGATCCCGTTAGACAAGCAGGGGTTACTGAAGATCAGTTCTAACCCGGATCTTCGCAAGTCCATTACCATTAAGACAGCCCAAGATAACATTACCAGTAGGTTTTCCGACATTTTAAAAACTGATATCACTGCTATAACATTCTCTGGATATATCTATATCCAACGTGATTGACTCCATCATATAATAAGCAATAACCTAGAATAGAGACGATACGCTAGTTCTACACATCAACAAAACAGGTAGTTCAGTACACATTCGTGAACTACATCTATAAAACAAGACACACTAACTCATTTAAATGACCATAGTAACGTACTGGGTCGGCGCTGTTGTCATTGATTACGTGTATTACGAGGTGAGGTGAGGTGAGGTGAGATTGGGCTTTACGTCGTGCTTGAGAATATTTCGCTCATATAACGACGTGCATGCGTGTGTATGTGTATGTGCGGCTGCTTGTACTAGCCCAGACTTAAGCTGGTTTTATAGTGCTAGCCCACTGAGATACCATACCGCAGTGAAGCATAAATACCCGAATCAGACACACTATACTGTCTCCGAGCCGACCAGAGCGCCAGGCAGAGACCAACAAGTACCATATTTTAACGTCTTTTTGCATGACGCGGTCGCGGTTCGAACCCGCGACCTTCCGCTCTCCGGGCGGACGCTGTATTACTTATATGTGCGGAGCTAAATAACAACGTAATGGAAACTGTAATTTCATGCTTAATCGGCTTTGAATGTATATTTTCGGGTAACATGAAAGGGACAGTAACTTTTTTCGAATGACTACAGTAATGCAATTTGCGTAAAATCGGTTCTGTACATAAGTTCAGGACTATTTGTAGTTTTCTGTCGCTTTCGGTTCCTGTCGTCCTATCGTATTTATATAAATCCCTAAATGGCAAAAATAGATTGTTGAATCACACAATGGTGGGAAACCTATTACCTACTTGACAAGGAACATATACTCTGCAAAAAAAGAAACGCACAGGTGATAATGAAATTTAAAATTAACTTTATTTTATTTCTATGCAAACAAAACCCGGTTACTTTAACCAAACATAATGTATACTTGTTCATATCCATTAAGTATCGCTCAAACACACCATTTCATGAAATATTGTTGTTTGATGATGGTTTTTGAAAATATCATGAGATTTTTACGTGTAAATGACACTTCGAACGATATGCACGTGAAAGTTGCTTCACCTATGCACCAGTGTGTAGGGTATATGAGGAAGGCAGTTTAACGTGTTCAATTCACTTTCAACGCCAGTTTACTGACGAATTCAACATGCCACGACTTAGCGAAGCTGACCGGAACATCGCCATCGGACGTCTTGAAGCTGGCGAATCTCAGTCATCAGTTGCAAGACACTTCAACGTGCATCACACAACAATTTCCCGTTTATGGAGGCGCTACAATCAACTGGGCTCGACCCGCGACCGACCTCGGAGTGGTAGACCACGGGTAACCAATGCTGCACAGGACCGCTACATCCGGGTGTTCCATTTACGTAACCGGGCCGTCCCAGCAGCACAAACAGCAGAGAACGTCCCAGGTCTTCGCCGCGTCTCCGCCCAGACCATCAGAAATCGCCTCAGACAGCACGGGATACGCCCTCGACGACCTCACGTAGGATGCACACTACGACCTCATCATCGCCTGGCACGTGTTCGATGGTGCAGGAACGTCCACAGATGGAATTGGAGACATTGGCAGCGAATTTGGTTCAGCGACGAATCTCGTTTCCAACTTCAAAGACACGATGGTAGGACGAGAGTCTATAGACGGAGAAACGAACGTTACGCCCGTAATTGTGTAGTTGAAGCGGACAGATTTGGAGGGGGAAGTGTGATGGTATGGGGGGCCATTTCTTTACAACGGAGAAGTGACTTGGTGCACGTCCGTGGTAACCTGACTGCAATTCGTTACAGGGATGAAATTCTGCAACGTCATCTTTTACCTGTCATCAACCCTCAACGTCACGTTTTCCAACAGGACAACGCCAGACCGCACGTGGCTCGCATCACGATGGACTACCTGACTAATCAGAACATCACAGTTCTTCCCTGGCCTTCAAAATCCCCGATTTGAACCCAATAGAGCATTTGTGGGACCAGCTTGGGAAACGCGTTCGACGTCGTCAGCCTCAACCCCAAACGTTGCAACAACTGTCTCAAGCCTTGCAGGAGGAATGGAGGAGGATCCCCCAAGCACGGATTCAAAGACTGATCATGTCCATGGACAGGAGGTGCCAAGCTGTGTTGCAAGCTCGAGGTGGTCACAACAGGTACTGACCTCCACGCCATCTGTACGCCCGGTGCAATGGTTTCAGAGACAAATGATAGCTGCATGTTGTAAAGCTGACTCTTGACAACATCCATGTGAAATTTTACGTTCGTGCGATCATTAGTTAAAGTTTTATTTGGAAACAAAATAAAGTGTTTACATTCCTGAGTTTTCACCTGTGCGTTTCTTTTTTTGCAGAGTATATTTGTGTCGATCTAAAATGTATGTTATAGGTCACTTTCTAAATGAGCTTATAGTCGTCACCCGTAGCATATATCGTTTTAGTAATCTGTAAAATACAAACGTTAACAATATGCCCCACGCCGATGTTTGTACGTACGTACTTATACACCGTCATTGTCGGAAGAAACAGGGTGTGGTGTCTGTGAAATTGGTTGAATGCAATGTCACGAAACATATTTAGCAGCTGTCACCCATAAGTCCATCAAGACGTATGTGTAATGTGTGTTCCGAGATTTGTATCCTGAAAATACATTTATCATCCAAAACTGTTCCACAGGAGATATCGTTTGTGTGAGATCAAACGATATCTCCTAGGAGATATCGTTTTGACAGTAGATTTTGTACAATGCCTTGACAATGCTATTACGTCATGTACTTGATGACGTCACAATGCTATGACATCGCTGCACTGCAAGTCTAATGGCAGTACCATGTTCAGAGATGTACATTTTTCATTGAAATTAATGAAGAGTGATTTTGGATGATAAATATAATCTCACCCTCGTGTCTTCTGATATCAAATATATCAACACTCGTTGATAAAGTAAAAATATCCTCGGCAAGCCTCGGATGTTTGTAGCTTTATCAACTCGTGTTGATATAATTGATATCAGAAGACGCTTGGGTGAGATTCTCTATGTCTACAACCCGCAGTGACAGAAAACAACTCCGCCACGGAAACGATCCTCTGTGAATTATACGTCTCTGGGTTCCGTCTCTAATCCTTTTGTTTGTTGTCTGGTACAACCAACTAGTTAATTATGTTGTATATTTATTGTCTGTGTTACACATAGAAAACATACATTCTTTCATCCTCGTATTACCGTGACAAAAGGTAATGAATAGAAATGTCGCACTTACAAAATAAAATAAGATGATATCCAGATTTGTCCCTCTTGTACATGCCAACTTCTTGCATGCCACTCACAGAAGTGCATTTACTTTCATGTACACGCCACCCAGTTAATCCGCAAACATTTAGTACATGTATAAACAGAAGGAGCAATCCAGTGATCTATTCTCCAAGTAAGCTACCAGACACCTTCT